ATCCGTTGACCCTGTTCCACGGTCGGGCCCCTTTTGACGTTACGGGCGAGCTCTTGATAGCGCGAGCCTCGTTTTTCCCGTACTCTGATACCTGCCTGAGAGTTATTTTCCCCTCTTTTGTGGTGGACTCGGTCTTCAGAGGTATAGGGGTTATCGTGGAGTCCTACCTAACCTATAAGGAGCTAGAGACGTTTGTCAGGAGTAGTTTAGACATGTGCTATATATACTACTCCCTCACGACAGGCAGGCTCCGTTGGGGAGACGAGAGGGTTCAGCTGATAGAGTTGATCCGCTCGCTAGGGGACGATTGTGAGAGAGGAGTGCCGCTACCGTCGTACTTTTGGAGCTGGCTGGATCGCGAGCTCCGGACAGGGTCAGAGTACGTCACCTGTGTCGGGAGGCTCTTTTTGGAGGATTGGGAGAGTCTGTGGAGTGAGGCCCCTAGCGGACCCCTGATACGTGAGTATCAATTGGCTCGTTACTACCAGACACTCGGACTTCGTCCGTACCGCGTGGAGGACGAGTACGACTACGAGGGGTGGGAGAGCGACGACGACGACGAGGAGGCCTGGGAGCCTGACTGGGTCGACTCCGAGGGTGAGAGTTATGAGACGGAGGAGGAGATCGACGTTATGGATGCCTTCTTTCCCAGGATAGGAGTTGCCGTCCGGACCTAGGAGGCAGGGTACAGGCGAGACGCGCTAGGAGCGGAGACTGCGAGGGAGCTGTGATTAGCCTCAGCCAGTGCTTATAGGTGGTTCGATGGTAGAGCAGGCTCGTATAGTGGAGCTCGTTATCGGGAGCGCCAGATGGCCTAGGCCTCCAGAGGTAGTGGAGGGCGATGTGCTGGAGTTTGATTTGCCGGCTAGGTTCGTAGCTGAGGCTGGATTTCACTCGGCTTGGAGATCGACGCGACTGGGATCGGATGTGCACCTGTGGTCGTATGCGATTGAGGGATATCAGGTGGATGCTCAGCGCTGACGAGTCCCCGGGACGACGAGTATCGAGGTCATAGGACATATCTATTACTCGCGCTCGGTGAGTGGAGCAGCCTACATAGGGGGTTTGGTGCACGAGTTTTGGCACTCTGAGCAGGAGGCCAGAGCGATCCTATCTGGGGTGATAGACGGTATCCGCGCGGATAGAGAGAGGTTGCAATGCGGGTGACGCTCCGGATAGGAGGGGCTTTTGCCTTTCCCTCGGTGGGACTGGGAGTAAGACTTCCCTTGTTCGTAGTGGAGGAGCTTTGGGGATCGACTCATATTGTCGACACCTATTCAACTAACCGCGAGTTAGACGGACTGAGGAGAGGGTTGGCAGATCGAGATTGGATCTCATACGCCCCGTTCGTTGGAGGACCGTTCACAGGCGAGAGAGGTATCCAGCTTGTGGAGTTTGTGCGGGCCTTAGCACCTTCCGAAGAGTAGGAATCCTCCTACCCGTATCAGCCTTTGGAGTTCTGGCTAGCGCTGGAGAGGGAGGCTCAGAGACCGGTCGATTACCTGGAGGGCCTAGGTGCGTTACTGAGTGAGACGCGCGAGGACAAACCTGCTCCTCTTATTTCGCCCTTGGAGATAGAGGCGCACTATCAGCAGGTACACCCAGAGGGAGAGGATCTTGGGTGGTACGCTGACGATAGAGAGTGGGAGACTCTAGGAGAGATAGAGCCTTGGGGAGAGCGGGACCAGGGCTGGGGAAATCTGGTGATAGAGGATCCCCAGGAGCCGGTAGGAGAGGTAGCTCCGCAGGAGGACGGCTGGGGACATCTCCTTCAGGCCGAGGGACAGGAGGACATCCCTTGGGGACGAGGGGACGAGGAGCTAGATGAGGATGGCGATGTGGGCATGGCAGACGCAGAGGGGATGTAGCTTGTGACGAATAATGTGAGTCAGGAGGTAGAAAGGAGATAGAGAAGATGGTCGAGACCACGGATGGGTAGGCATGCGCCCTCCTTCAGACGAGCTTATTGGCATCAGCTGCTTGCCGAGGGGCAGGGGCCTACGAGAGAGGATATTGATAATGTTATACGATCTTTGAACGGAAAGACGAAGAGGGAATTCCTGCCATACGAGCTGGTCGCGTACGACTATGTCCAGGGAGGGGGCTCAAACCCTTGGCGCATTTATGTACTTACTTACCACTTTACTAGCTTGGACAAATATGACGTGCGAGCCTACATTTCTGTGACCAAAACGGGACGAAATTTGAGTAATAAAGCGTGGAAGGCTTATGCCGGATTAGTAGCAGAAGAAGTAGTAAGGTTGCAACAGGAAAGGAAGATTGTCAGTAAGGATACCGGAGTCAGGGTGTTCACAGGCATTCTTAGACCTCCAATTATAGGGAGAAACTTATCCCGGTATAATTGGCACGAGGTGATAGAGTTAGCCACTCGGATCAGAGATCGGACGCAGCTTAGAGAAGGGAGTAGTGGAGAGACGGTTGGTAAACACAGGGAGATAGCTTTCGAAGAGACGAGAGTTGTAGGGAGCGCTGGTGGAGATGGCTGATAGGGACATACTGAGAGTGACACTCTCCTTGCAACGAGATAGGATAGGCGACTGGGAAGAAAAGGCGATGGATGACGTTGCGCGGCAGGTCGGACTCATGATCGAGCATGCCCTAGAGATACGGAGAGGCCAGAGACACGTCGAGTTTACCATCTACTTCCATAAAGCTGACGGGAGAGTCCACAACACCTACTCGACTATTTTGAGCCTAACTGGTAGAGTTGTTTGAGAAGTTAGTGGCATCGTAAGATCGAGTGTGTCGGAGAGAACTAGTGTGGCAAGGATTGAGCGACATGCGCCGATGAGGAGCGATTGCGACATATGGGTGACGTATGTGTTGACACGAGGGTCCGAGGCCCGTAGAGTGATAGATTTCATAGGGCCAAGAGAGGCGGCGCTGGGATATGATGTCCCGCTTCCGGTGCTTAGAGGAAGGAACTTGGGTCCCAATCCGACATTTCGGTACTTGGCTGGCGAGAGGGGTTTTCTTGTGGACAGTGATTGCGGAGGACCAGGGGTTTCCCCAACAGGTGAAGGGTATAGGACATCTTGTGTTTGATAAGGAGAGAGATATAGAGATAGGGCTGACACTTGTAGGCGTTAGCAGAATCTGGTGGAGGTACGAGATCTTAGCAGAGGCAATAGTGAAAAGACAACTGGCTAACACTACTGAAGGTAGGCCTTTTACCACGCAAATTGTGGTCGGTTGTCCTCCACGAATTTACCATCCGATAGGGAGCTGGTGGATGGTGTTACCCGAGTTTGTTAAAGAACAAACTTACGGAGGCGTGGACTGCTTGACGAAAGCAGTCGACCACACTCAGCACGCGTTCTTACGAGGGCTGGAGCGTCGATTCCTAGAAGCGTACTACTCAGTCTGCATAAGGTGGGGACCTCCTGGTAAGGAGATCTAGAGAGACTTGTTAGATGCCACCTGCTGGCTAGACTATCTGAGACCTGCAGATTTGATTCACTATTGTCAAAGACGAGCAGAAGACAAGTTCATCGGGCTGGAGGACCTGAGATACTTGTTTGTGCATAGCTAGTGGAGGAGATGCCAGGTCGGACGATTACGGGGGTAAATGTGACGAGGCAATTAGTGAACGAGGGTTTCATGATTACTGTCCTACTCAGGGCTCACATAGACAACGACTTAACAGAGCAAGAAAGTTTCCTACAAGCCAGAAAATTTATTCGGGAATACAGACCGGGCGTTCTTGAATGCGTAACCTTCCAGACGAAGATAACGTACGAGGCAATGGTATGGGCGGCTGGGTATTTGCGAGCGGAATTGTTCTTTGATGAGACGGTAGCGGAAGCCAGGAGTAGAGTATGATTACCCTGTCATGACGGAGCATGAACAGCAACTGTATCGATATAGACCTCGAGCCTCGTATTCACTTCGATGGGACCACAGAGGGTCCAAGTCTTGGAGGAGCGTGAGTGAGAGGATCCCTCAAGTAGCTATTCGGGGAATTGAGACAAGGAGTCCCTCTCCTCGGCAACGCCTTCCCTACGCTCGGGTTGTCTCTAGGCAGCTAGCGGGTGACAACGAGACCCTACAAATTCTCTTGAAGGTGAGCATAGAAGTGGACCTGTTAGACAACGAGTTCAAAGAGCTTGCGGAAGACGTCATACGAGAGCAGAGACCTGGTGCCTTGAGGGAATTGACGACGCAGAGTTGGGTAGTATATGAGGTGATCGTATGCGTTAAAGGAAGAGTACGCCTGGAGATAATTCGGGACGAGACACCCTCGGAGGCTAGAAGCAATATGTGATAGGAAGTTCATGAGAATAAGAAAGATGGGTTGTAGGTGATGGAGGATCTGGAAGAGAGGAAAAAGAGGGTCGATGAACGGATTATTAAACCAGTAGTGAAACTAGTCAGAGAGCTTGGCGTCAAGATCCAGGATTGCGTACCGAAAAAGAGTGAGAGCGAGTTGCGTAAAATAGAAGCGGCAACGAAGGCATTGCAAAGGCTTTTGAGAGAAGATAGAGAATTTTTTGAGAGGTGGAGGCTTGATTTTCTGAAAAGTGTGAAGGGGAGAGTTCATATTAGTCAGGAGCGAGAGGGCTCGCTCGAAACGACCAGAAGAACAGACAAGGTGTCTGAAGCAGTGACATTGGAAAAGGAGGCGAAAGATGAGGGAACGTCGGAACGGAGATAGAAGAGGATGAGTAACGAGAAATGTGATATGCGTATAACAGGAAGGTTGACTGGGCAAATCGCTTGTGTCGTTATACAACTAGTCCATCGGGAGAAGCTAATTGTGATAGAAGAGGCGGAGTGCACTCGACGAGCTGTACGGAAGGCGCGAGTGACCGGACTCTGGGTAGGGGACATGGTAAAGGGATTGACAAGACACGTTACAGAGATTGTGACCACCACAGGAGCCACGACTTACTGGGACAAACCCGGAGGGGCCTATTCACTTCGCTGGGACCGGAGGAACACCGATTCCTGGAGCAGTGTCGAGAATAGAAATCCTCGAACGCTGACTGATTATCGTGCGAGGGAGAGAGAGAGAGACGATGAGCCATGACGACGTAGGGATGATGATATAGACCGGGACCGCAGGGCTCGCGAGATGTATGGGCGAGCTAGGAGAGTGGATGATTACTCTCGTAGCCCTCGCTATGAGGCTGACGGGGGTAGAGGCGACTCTCGAGGCCGGTGGGAGTCGGATCAGGGCCGGCGAGATGGATACAGGGACGACAAATATGAGAGATCAGACCGAGATGGATATAGGGACGACATATATGAGAGATCGGATCGAGATGGATACAGAGGAGGCAGGTATGAGAGAGCAGATCGAAACGGAGACCGACGAGATGACTCGCGCGGACGGTATGACCGCGGGGGATTCACTAGGGCGCAGCGTGACGATTCGCAGGGATGGTACGACCGAGGAGATCGCTGCGATGAGTCGCGCGGACGATACGACCATGGAGACCACCGGAATGACTCACGGGGACGATATGAGCAAGGAGGATCTGGAGGAGACCGCCGCAATGATTCGCACGGCCGGAACGAGAGAGGGGGATTTGGCGCGTCATCCGATCCGCATACAAAGTTCCCTGACCCCAGAGCAGCGAGAGGTTTGACCTCCAGGGGCGCAGACGACAGGCCACCCACTCCAAGGAACTCTTGCATCTACTGTAGAGGAGATGATCATATCAAGAGAGACTGTCCGGATCTCAAACGGACAATAGATGAGGGACTTGTCGTGCTTGATGACCGCAAGTATGCCAAGTGGGCTGATGATCTGGGAGACGTATCAATGTTCCCTTCGATGAAGGGGAATGTTGAAGCAAGGAGAGTAAAGCCGAGGAAAGGAAAGGAGCTGGTTAGGAGCCAGAGCATCAAGATAACTTTCGAAGGAGATATGGCAACCACACCCATAAGGGTGACAGCTACCAAGTCAGCGAGAGGGTCTACGTCGAAGAAGACTGACACGGATTACGTGATGGCGGAGAAGGACGGACAACGGATCGATGGAGAGGAGGTTATTCTTTCACCGCGAAAGCGGGGAGTGAAGAAGTTCTTGATGAAGAGTTCGTTGAACAGATTGACACGGTTGAGCCACTGAGACGGGCTCTTCGGCAGCCCATGCAGTGCTCTATTTTGGAATACCTGGCGGCATCCAAGCCGGCTCGCGACGAGTTACAGATGATCACGCGAAAGACTCGCATACCTCTATCAAAGGAGGCTTAGGTGGCCCCTAAGGAGGATGCTCCTACTGTAGCAATATCGGAGGTGACTGCCAGAGCAGATCGCATGGCAACAGTCCTTCTTGATGGGATGAAAGGTGTGCCTCCAGACAAGTTTTACATACTTGGTAGTGGGACCGTGGAGGCGACCCTAAACGACGGAGCGGTACTAGATGCTGTGATCGATAACGACAGTGAAGCTGTCATTATAGACGAGGATCTGGCAGAGCAAGTTGAACTGAGACTCGATAGTTCATACTTATTCGAGATAGAGACGGCTGATGGGAGAAAGCAACAAATCACAGAAGTTTGTCACAAGGCAGCCATAGAGGTCCAAGGGGTACGAGTGACCCTGCCAGTCTTTGCAGTGAAGAACTGCAGCTCTGACCTGCTCTTAGGACGGACGTGGTTGAGCCACGTGCATGCGGTGACGATTGAGCGACCGGACGGGAGCCATACATTGTCCATTAAGAAGCTAGATGGGACGCGGGTAATGATTGAGACGGTGGAGCCTCGAGACCCGAGGAACAGGGCAGCTCTCGCTGTAGGAGCAGGACCCAGTAACCGGATTAAGTCATTACCTATCTCCGGCCGCGCGGTGCGATTTCGCGAGAAGAAGTATGGACCTCTGCTCACAGGAGAAGAAGGTCGGATCGTAGAAGTGGAAGATTTAGGGAGTCGCGTGATAGTGGACGACAACTCGTATCCAAAGGAGGCAGATGAGGAATTTGGCGGCATGATATCTGTGTCTTTTTTAAGGGCACAGCCCCTTACGGGGGGCGACCAAAGAGACACAAGACAGTAGCTCAGAAGGTTAAGCCAGCGGCCGTAGCACGAGAGCGATCCGCATTGGATGGGGTATCTGAAGAAGAGATCGCTAGAGAGATTAAAGAAAGAGGAAGGAGCCGCAACGACTGACGGAAAAGAGGATAGCGGAGAAAGACATAGGAAACGGAAATCTGACTGAGTCAGAGAAAGAGCGAGTACTAGAAGTCCTTAAGTCATGCGACAAAGTATAGCTTTCAGCGATGCAGAAAGAGGAAGGATTGATCCTAGGTATGCTAAGCCGGCCAGGATCTACACGATTCCACATACTTCGTGGAATGACGCAGGCTGGAAGTTTGCTCAGAAAGAGAAGGAAGAGGTGATCTCCTTTCTCAAAGAGAAGATGGCATCACACGTAGCTGAGCCATGTGATAGCGCGTACGCGAACAGATGGTTCTTCTTAAGGAAGCCTAATGGAAAAATTCGGTGGATTCAAGACCTTCAGAAGGTCAATGCTGTGACAGTTCGAGACGTAGGCTTCGTGCCGCACGCTGATCTATTAGCAGAAGGAGCAGCAGGCAGATCCATTTATTATGTTTGCGATTTATTTTCAGGGTACAATGAGATACCACTAGATTCGAGAGATAGGCATCTCACAGCTATGCACACGCCGCTTGGACTAGTGCAGATGATGGTCGTTCCGATGGAATGGACCAATGGGGTAGCGGTCTTTCAGAGAGTCATGGTAGCGGTTCTGAAAGACTTTATCCCAGATAAAGTAGAAGTTTTTCTGGACGATTTTCCGATAAAAGGGTCAGTGGTGAAAGACAAAACGGAAGTCGCCTCTGGCATCAGGAAATTCGTTGAGCAACACCTGACGGATATTTATGCTGTCCTGGAGCAGCTAGATGAAGCCAACCTGACGGTTAGCGGGACAAAGAGCCGATGGACCGTATCGACGATTAAAATTCTAGGGTTTATATGCGACGCGAAAGGCCGACGCCTGGACCCTGGTAGTTGGAGAAGTTGTTGAATTGGCCGACTCCTTTGCACAGTGCTACTCAAGTTCGCCAGTTTTTAGGCGTCGTTGGTTATTGGCGGATCTTCATACGGGGATATGCGGAAAAGGCAGAGCCTCTACGCACACTTCTTAGGAAGATTGGGAAGTTCTACTGGGATTCTTCTCAAGAACTTGCAGTGCAGTTCCTCAAGGAAGAATTTAAAGAAGGGGGCCGAATTCTAGGTGTGTCATTCTTTGAGGACGAGATGGATCGACCGTTCATAGTATCTACGGACGCCGGACCATGTTGGGTTGGGGGATTGCTCTCTCAGAAGGACACCGAGGGTAAGGAGAAACTATTGAGATTTGAGAGCCGAACACTCAACACTGCGGAACGCAACTACAGTCAGTTTAAGAAGGAGGTGTTGGCTGTTCTACAGTTCTTAGATACCTTAAGGCATTACATATACGGGAGACGGTTCGTTCTTAGGGTAGACCCTACAGCTATAGCCTCAGTCCTACAGAAGGATTTCAGTTTGACGGATCCTACGATCGCACGATGGCTGATCAGGATTCGACTTTATGATTATACTGTAGAAAGAATTTCAGGGGCGAAGAACGCAGTAGCCGATGGACTTTCACGAATTCCCATCGAGACAGAGTGACCGATGTCGGTTGTTGCCCTGACTTTGTCCAAGCCTAGACGAACGGATCGCTTCCTAGTCAACCTTTATGAAGGTAAGTACCGCATTATAGGGCTGCATCTGTCAGGAGAGGAAAGCACTGATTCGGACATCCGGAGACAGGCGACACAGTACTGTCTTAGGGCTGGACATTTGTTTCGTCGACCTATAGGAGCAGGGATGCCTCTTCGGGTAATCTGCGACCCAGAGGAGAAGCAGTCCATAGTAGCTGAGTTACATGATGGTGTGGTCGGATGACATAGAGGAGTAAAAGGTACATATGAGAAGGTTCGCAGATTATATTGGTGGGAAGGACAGTACAAGGACGTTGAAAAGTACTGCCAAACTTGTGAGGACTTCCAGAAGAGGTCTCTTATCAGATACAAGGAGCCACTTCACCTTTCATATCCTACTAGACGAGTAGAGAAAGTACATATTGATCTGGTAAAGATGCCGAAGGGTGTAGGGAACATGAACTATGTAGTGAACATCAGGGATGACTTCACTGGATTTGTCGATGACAAACCCATTAGAACGAAGGCCGCAAGAGAAGTTAAGAACTTCGTCGTGGAGTACCTGTCTAGATATGGATGTGTCAGTAAGATTGTGATGGATAGAGGAGCAGAGTTCCTAGCAGACGAGGTCCAGAGCGCATTCAATAAAGCAGGAGCTAGAATATCAATTGCTACTGCCTATCACCCTCAGTCCAATGCACCTGTAGAGCGAGGCCACCAGTCATTGATTGCGTCTTTATCCAAGTGGTGTAGAGGGAAGGATAGTGACTGGCCGAAGTATTTCAGATATGCGATATGGGCGGACAATGTCACTGTCCGAGCTAGTATGGGCTACCCTCCTTACACTCTATGGTTTGGAAGGCACTGTCCCTTGCCCATAGAGTTCCATGTTGATAGTTGGACTACGGCCGACTGGGCAGATATTATGACACGAGAGGAATTGCTAGCAGCCAGGACTAGACAGATAGCATACGGGTTGGAGGATAACCTCATGACTGCGGCCAATCGACTGGCAGTAGAAAGAGAAAAGAACAAAGTGAGATGGGACAAAGTCGTCAGAATTAGAAAGGAAAAGATTAAGGTTAGCGATATGGTGTTCCTCTACGACGCCGCCTTAGAGAGGACATGGACAGGAAAACTGGCTAACAGATGGATGGGGCCTTATCGTGTGGTTGGTGCGTTAGGCTGGGGAGCCTATACGATCACTAAGCTAGACGGGGCAAAGTGGAAGGATCCGGTGGCTGGGGCAAGACTGAAGTTGTTTAAGTCAAGAGAGATGCATACTCCTGCTCCAACACTATCAGACCCTAAAAGTTGTTTAAGTCAAGAGAGATGCATACTCCTGCTCCAACACTATCAGACCCTAGAGGTAAGGGAAAAGCCAAGGTGGCAGACGGGGGACTACCAAGGCGGTTCGAGGTAGGTGAGAGTTCGAGGAAGAGGAAAAGAGTAGAGACAAGGAAAGTGAACGGCCTAACGCTAGGTAAGAGAAGGAAATGGGTTTTTGTTCTACAAAGACCTAAGAGAAGAGTTCGGATTAAGAAGAGTGGCACAACTATCATACGACCTCCCCAACGAAGAGAGAAACGAATAAATATTCCAGTATCGAAGTCCAAAAGACAGCGACATAAGAAAGGGAAAAAACACCCTCTCAGCCCCAGAGTTCCTGAGAAACCTAAACGCCAGACAGAAAAGAGGAGGCACTTGCGACGAGTACGAGTGGTCCACTTAGATCTGGTGCGTTTTATTTAATCTTGGTGGAGCGGGCTCGACGGGGGCATCGAGAGGAGGTCCGCGCTTGTTTGTCGGGCGACCGAAGGCAAGTCGGTCGCCCTAATACCGCAAGATTGACCCGTAGAAAAATTGTCTGAGAAAGAATCGACCGGGAGTTTTGTCCGACCGACTGGGAGAAGTTAGGGGTAGTCAGATCACCCCTAATTTCGGATGTGCCAACTATCAGGACCAGTCCTAGAAACGGACAAGAGGGACTACCTCTTCCGTCGCGCTGAGGTCCACCTCTTTTCTACCGATTCCAGACCCGTTCCTGGAACGACCAGCCCTGGGACAGTGAATTGAGAGTGGGCTTTGGCAAGGCCTTTGTACGGTGTCCAACGAACGCGAGGACGGGGCCCCACCTTTAATTAAATTTAATATTAAAATTAAAAATAGAAAAAATAATAAAAAATAAAAAAAAAGGAAGAAAAATAAAATATTCATTAATTTATTTGAAAACGTCATTATTAAAATTTTTAATGGGGTCGCCCTCATTTATTGATATTTCAGGTAAAAAAAAAAAAAAAAAAAAGAATCAAAAGCAAATAAAGGAGGAAGAAAACAAGGAATTTTTGTTATTTAGTTAAATTTCATCGGAATTAAATTCTGACGGGATTGCTTTTATTATTGTTAATTTTGATAATGGAATTAAGAAATAARAAAAGTGAATAAAAATAAAGGGAAGGAAGAAAAACCATGATTATTAAATGATTGACGAGATTTTGGTCAATTTGATTCGTGGTCGGAATTAATCCCGGATTATTTTATTTACTTTATTCTCTGCCGAGCTTCTCTATTTCGCGAAGGATGGGATTGATCGCATGACTTATCTGAYTCTCCTGATTCCTAGCCCCACCCTGACCTATGTGCTGTGAGTATGAGATTAGATGATTGSAACAGTGTGACCGCTGGGTTGGTTCGGACTCGTGGTTTMGGGAGATTTGGTACTATTACCGGAYTGTGACACYTGTTGGTACASCATYGACGGTAWTCAGGCTCGRATTTSGTGCGGTATAGTGTTTATCTTGATGAGCACTACTACGGGGTGGCGACACTCTACGRCTACGAGTTRTTTCAGGGCATACTCCAGGTTCGATATTGGTYCGGCTYTTCGATGGCCGRTTATTTCAACTTCAGCACCACTACGRCRGATCATTTCAGGCTCGGCATCAACACGACGGTTTATTTCAGGTTCGGGACGATCACCGTGGGACACTTTCAGGTCCWGAACCATCATAGATGTATAATTCAGGTTCGGCGTGAGTCCGGCAACARCGTACCTCAGGTYCTGGCACATCAGTGTAATTTATTATCCGGTTCGGAACTACTATAGCGGGATATTTCATCAKGGTTGGGGACGACCTCGGTAACTCGTTTTCTGRTCCRGGACCRCTACGTTAGTCTATTTCGGCTCCGRCGCGACTACGACAATTTATTTGGTGATTCAGAGYCTTCTCGAMGGAYGATTTTCGCGTTCAAGTACGACARCTATCTTCGGGCTGGTACTACCTCGACGTCGGCATGGGTCGAGTTTCRGTATATAGGCACGACACTCTMGTTCGGGACAGGTYCGGGACTATCATGCCGAGGMTGTGC